GAGAGAGAGAGAGAGAGAGAGAGAGAGAGAGAGAGACAGACAGACAGACAGACAGAGAGAGAGACAGAGAGCCTACCCTTGCGAATTGTTTGGAGCCCCGAAGAGCGTGCTCTTCGCCATGGTCAACGCCCCTCTCGGGCAGCGGGTGAGGTAGTCCAACATCGAAACGAGCTCAAAGGCAAGGTAGAAAAGTACATGTTAACTCATCCGTTTTTCTTCCACCCCACTGTAAAGACCAATCTTCACCGCATCTCTCCACTTTGGGCTTAGATGGACAAAAATCCTAAATATCACAGTAACTATGGTAGAAATTATAGTTGTATAGTAACATAGTCTCAAAAATAGTGTGATTAGTACATGTACCTTACGTGGTAAATTTTAGTTCCCTGAAATGTGGCTCATCGATGTTAAGACCACTGAGGATTTGGTGCGAACCCAAGTTCCCAATCCACATTGATTCTCTTTGATTAAGTTTTTCTTTTCTAGGATTACGAACTGTTTCAATGCCCTGAAGCTGCAGGTCGGTGGCTCCATTGTGACCAGGACTGTTGAAATGTTGGCCAACTGGTGTGCATGAGTTTTTCTGTACTGAGTACCTATGGTTATTGAACCTAGCTCTTAGTAAGTCTTAGTGTGGTGGTAATTTGACCTACGTATTATTGGGCTGGACAGACTTTACAAGAGATGAGGTAAATCACGTCTTTGGTTTCACGGGTGATACTGTGAGAAAGTTTTCTTTTAAAGTGGGGGACTTCTATAAAGTTGGTCACTTTAATGTTAGCACATGTTTTGCATGTAGGGTAATGGCAAGGAAAAATTTGAGGTGAGGTACATGGGCTTGTCGGAGGTGAGGATGTGGGTGTTACTGCTCTAGTGCGAATGAAGAGGTTGCCAAGATTAGGTGGCTATCGCCGTGCGACCAGAGGGGGATTCGGGAAACAGGCTTTCATTTTGTCAGATTTTTTAAAAATGTTTTTATGTTGGCCGTGGATTTTATGTACATTGGGTGGTTTTTGGTGATGAGTTGTGACGCAAAAAAGTTTTTTCTGTTTGGGCTTAAGGGGTTTGTACGTCAGAAGGTTGGTGCGGTTAAATTTGCTGACTTTCTCGATTATGGGAGTAATGACACTTTTGAGGTATCCGCTGTGAAGAAAGTTGTTGGCTGTGAATTCCTCTATCCGTTGCTTAAAAGAATTTTCACGGGAGCAAATGCGTCGGAGTCTAAGGGCACCACTATAGCCCACAGAACGCAATGTATTTTTGGGATGGTTTGAAGAAGGTGGGAGATAACGACTGGAGTCGGTAGTTTTGTTGTTGTCCGGGTCTGTTTCAGTTTGGTTATATTTAATGAGGAGGGACAAGTCCAGGAAATAAGTGGATTTTCCTGGCGTGGAAATAAGTAAATTTGATGTTGTGGTGTGCCTTGTTGAGATCATCATCATCATCATCATCATCATCATCATCATCATCATCATCATCATCATCTTCATCATCATCATGACTGTTATTGACTATTACATGTATTATTTTTCTTTCTTCCTTTCTTATAACTTTTGGTGTAATGTAACGGCAAATACCAAAGTGACTTCACAAAACAAACAAACTAGGAGCAGCAACAAAAACAACAGCAACAGCAACCAGCAATAATAGAAATAGCAATAGTGACAACAGCAGCAACAATAACAGTGACAACAACAGTAACAACAACAGTAACAAAAAACAAACAAATTCAACAACGTGAAAATAGCAACAAAGAAGCACCAACACACAATCAGTAGTAGAAGCACGAAAACAAATCTTATGTGCTTGATAATGTGTGACATATATATAACAATAACAAGTGGGTTTTTTAATTTTATTTACAAATTTTATTAAAAACATTGAAAATATGAAAAGAGAAAGAAAACAAAACATAAATGTACATAGAAATGTTGAACTGGACACATTGACAATTAACATGAATTCAATATTAAGTCAGAAGTATCTAAATGTAATTTGAGGAAGTTTTAAAAAGGGAAATCAAATATTTTTTACAAGTTTTTCATGTGTGGTTTTGTTGTTGTTCATCTTATATTACTTGTTAAAAATTTATTTTTATTTTATTCTTTTTCTTGTTTTTGTTTTTTTGCTTGCGTTTTTTACTATTTTTTTTTGTTGGGGGGGGGGGGGGGATTATACAATTGATGCAAGGTCTGATTACATCCAAATCAGTATTGGATTCCAAAGTATCAGTTTCGAATTCACACCCTAAACTACTACCTCAGGGCGTGATGATCAATAATGAACAATTATGAAAATGATTTTTTTGAAGTGACACTAGCAAAAGTTATTGTTTTCAAGTTGAGCTGGTCAAACAAATCGCTTTATGGTAGTATCAAAATAAAAAGTATCTTTAACACTTTTTTTGGTGTGAATATGAACGTATCGAGAGAATATACTCTCACAGACGTCTTAAACTAGAAGGATTGCAGCATGCTCTTTCTGGTTTATCATGTTTTCCGTCTTTATAATACAATACAGTGTTGCTTATGACCATTACAGCTACAGTAGCACTAAACCTTCTCAAATATCAGTCGCAATTACGTTCTACAACTATCTGATAATGTTTTACACGTATGTAAGTTTACAACACCGAGACAACTAAGATTAATTCTATGTTGGATTTTTTTTTGCTCGATTTTTTAATTAATTTTTTTTTGAGAGGGGGGGGGGGAATCTTATACAATTATTGCAATTTGTGACTACATTCAAAGCAGTATGTATTTATTTGTAATAATAATAATAAATAAATAGCATTTGTATAGCGCATATCCCCGCTCAACAGCAGGTTCTATGCGCTTTACATTATATTTGTAAGATATAAGTTTCGATGCTGTATTACTAGCTCAGGGCATTATGATCAATATCGCACAAATGTTTTTAAACATTGACACAAGGAAAAGTTATTGTCTTCAACATAAGCCGGTCAGACATTATCTCTTTATGGAAGTATCAAAATGTACCATCAAGATCACACTTTTTTTCGGTGAATATTAACATATCAAGAGCATTCTTTAGAGACTGTTCAAATTTAAAAGGATTGTATATGGGTGTTTTGTGTTTTTCATTTTTTCCTTTTGTACAATATTGTTAATGACCATTAAAGCTTTTTACCACTTAACAGTCTAAATGTCAGTCGTAAATTACGACACACCACTCACTGATAATGTTCATCAGTGATCAATAATGCACAATTATGAAAATGATTTTTAAAAAAGATGACACTAGCAAAAGCTATTGTTTTCAAAATGAGCTGGTCAAACAAATCGCTTTATGGAAGTATCAAAATATAGTATCTTAAACACATTTTCCCCCTGTGAATATGAACGTATCAGTAGAATGTTCTCTCACAGACATCTCAAACTAGACGGTCTGCAGCATGCTCTTTCTCGTTTATGTTTTCCTTCTTTATAATATTATACCATATTGCTTGTGACCATTACAGTTTCAGCAACACTAAAACTTCTCAAATATCAGTCCCAATTACGTTTCACAACTATCTGATAATGTTGAACACTTATGTACAATACCGAGACAACTAATAGTATGTTTGTTTGTTTGTTTGTTTGTTTGTATTTTTTTTTTGGGGGGGGGAGGGAGGCTTGTACAATTATCGCAAGTTGTAATTACTTTCAAAGCAGTATTTATTTCTAAGATATAAGTTTCCGATGCTGTATTACTAACTCAGGCTTGATGATCAATAGCGTACAAGTGTTTTATAACATTGATACTGGCTAAAGTTAATGTCTTCAACATAAACTAGTCAGACATTATCTCTTCATGAAAGTATCAAAATGTACCATCACGATCCCACATTTTTTTCCTGTGAATATTAAAATATCTAGAGCATATTATTATTCCTTAAAGACTTTTCAAATTTGAAAGGATTGTATCTTGGTGTTTCGCGTTTATTATGGTTTTCCTTTTGTACAATATTCATTACGACCAGTAAAGCTCTTTATCACTAAACAGTCTAAAATATCACTCTTAATTACGACATACCACTCGTTGATAATGTTATTCAATTATATACACTTCTAAGACAACTTGCCAACAAAGGGCTGTTCTTATCCGGTCCTTCACCAGGTCAGGTTGAATTCTTTATAAAAAAAGGCAAAAGTGACTTCTTGCACTATCAACCCGTTTGTAAGAACAGACTGATTTTAATTCGTATTTTTTTCGGACATTTGAATCTATACAATAAGAGTTTTTAATGGCACTGTTTTTGAATAATTACAAAGTGCTCAAAGCCACCAATCTATTCCAGCAAAAGCCTCAAAATTGGTATTTCGCAAATAAATTCAGTCTTTAAAAAAGAAACCCATAGAAAGATGAAATAATGTTGTTTTTTCCCCCTTAGTTTGTTTGTTTGTTTGTTTATTTTTGCTCTTTTTTAGGGGGGGGGTATTGTGAGTGGCTTTTTGAATTAAGTTGTTATTATATTTTAACATTATTCCTTTCTAAGACATAAGTTTCGAATGCATATTCTGGATTTCTTATTCAGGGTATGATAATCAAAAATATTTAAGAAATACAAAGTGGTTGAGATCACTAATGCATGATAATACTAGAGTGAAATGATACACAAAAATAAGCAAATGCCTGACAAAACCTGCTATAGAAAGTAAGAACATTGTCTCTGTCTCCACACAGATTACTGCTGATACTGTTGAAATGTAGAAAGCTGAAAGTACTCAGGGAAAGACGAAGGTACCACGTACTGGAAACAAGCTGTAGGGTCAGGCTGGTAACAGTTTTGATGGTGTGTGAGAAACTGAGAGTGTCCCAGTGACGGGGGAGCAGATTGCTGAACTGTGTTCTGATTTGTGTCTGTGACCACAGGCCATTGGGCTCTCTGTAGATCCAACGGAGACTGGTGATATTGTGAAGAAGAGATATCTACATGCTGCGGGCACTGGGTTGTTGTTTCTGTCAGATAGGCCGAGGAATCGAAATATGTACAGGCCGGGTGAAAGGTTGCCAGTCCACTGTTCTGGTTCATGTAGTAGTACTGTGTCGGTGTCTCACGTGGGAAATACTGAAGGTTTACAGAGTGTGAGGGGTGCACGAACTGTTGGTCATATCCTGGATGTTGATAGCTGAACTCGTTGAAAGGAAGGCAGAACGATGAAGATGGTTTTTGCTCGATGGGTGAGTTACCGAAGTTCGGACTCGCTACTTCCTCGCCGGTGCTATTGTATGTGATTGGTGCAGTAACGAGAGATTGAGCGGAGACGTTTTGTCGGACACGAAGTTCTGGGTGACCGTTGGTGTTGAGGATTTGTAGGATCTGGCAGACTGAAGACCGCTCTGTCGGATCTGCACACAGTAGACGTTGCACACATTGTCTGTAGGCGGGCGAGACTGATTTATCATTGTCCAACAGCTTCAGGTAGTCCGTGTTTTTCTGGGGCTTTTTACGGAACACAAGTGCCCACAGTAGAACGCCGACACAGAAATCTTCAAGCTTGAAAGCATCTTTCACAGGATGGCCCCTTTTGAATTCCGGTCCGTGGTAGGCTGCACAACTACCCCATTCCTTCAAACTGTCCGTGTTTTCAGGAACTACCTGAGCATGTCCAAAGTCACAAAGCTTTGCCACTCCATCTTTACTCACCAATACATTTTCCAGTTTTACATCACCGTGCACGACACGTCGGCTGTGTAGGTAGCTCAAGGCCTCGGTAATCTGGGTAAAGTAGCGAGTAGCTTCTTCATCCGAGATACGAGGTAAGGCGTCGAACAAATCCACAGGGTGGAATTCCAAAACCATGACCAGAGACTCTGGGCAACTAGCCGCTCTCTCCATTGCTATGATGTTGGGATGGCGGAGGTCTTGAAGCATGGCCACCTCGTTGACGAAATAAAACCATTTCCTTGGTTTATCCACGGGGTCTCCATTCTCCAGAAAAATGAATTTCTTCAGAGCTTTCTTCTTCTTCGGATTATTGACGTCTGTAGCGAGGAAAACTTGGGCAGTTGCACCTCCCGCAAGAAGGTGATCTTCTTTAAAGCCTAGCGCCTCAGATACTTTTACAGTGTGGGTCTCAAACAGTGGACGACTGAGTCTGAAAGTAGTACTCATACTGAAGTTGTAGGCAACGTACAAGATACACTCCAAGTGTAGGTTCTTGTATAACGTGAATAAAGCACAGTATAAGTCTTCTCAAAATAAATAGTCACTGACTGACTCACCGTATCTATAAGAAACGTCTGGTCAAAACTTCCACCACAAATCCAACGAGTGAAACACACAACTTTTCACTGCGGAAATACTCAGCAAGTCACAAACACATCGAAATTGTCAAAAAAATTCGTATATCCAATATCTGTGAACGTGGCTGTGGTCAAATAGAAAACAACGAAATTATAAGCAACTGCGTGTGATAATGCTTTTATAACCACGCTTCTTTCGCGCCTTTTTCGTGGGGCGGAGTCAAGGCTTGATAATCAACCAATCATCGTTAAGATTGGACCCTCGGTTAGCCTTGTTGATTATGTCACCATCGCCGACAAAGAAAGTAGATAATCCATAGCGGACAAAGGTGACCGCCTCATGTTTGTAAGACGGATTAAACTGTCAAAATAATTACGTGTCTGTTCGAAATGTCTAGCAGCTATATAACGTCTTTAATCACTTAAAAAATTCTTTGCTTTTTGTTTCTCAAGAAAATTTAGACAGCTACTTGCCTTTTATGGTTTTGAATTACAGCTTTGTTACATTGTAGGCTTGTGTGTGCAAAATACTTTCTTAACAATGAAAGTATTATGACAAGTCGGGAGAATTGTAGAAGCCAATAGGAATCCCGAGTCTGTGTTTGAATGATTACACGTATGTGTATGTATGTATTTATATATGTGTGGCTGTGTGTGTTTGTGTGTGTTTCTTGTGTGTGAGTGTGCATGTGCGTGTGTGTGTGCATGTGCGTATGTGTGTGCGAGTATATGTTATGTATGTTTACGTGTGTGTGTGTGTGTGTGTGTGTGTGTGTGTGTGTGTGTGTGTATGTGTGTGTGTGTGTGTGTGGGGGGGGGGGGATATGTCTTGCTATGTAGAAAGTGAAAATACGTGAGGGAATAGTGTGACACTTTAGGCGGCCGAGTCAGAAAGAAAGGAGGAATTTTGTGAATTACAATGGTAACATTATTTACCAAGAATTAAAAAGCTTAACATGCTTTGAAAAAAAAAAAAAAAGAAATTGTGACACACAATTATGTCCTTGACAAACGAATCTTTCTATTATCCGTTAGCTGGCTGTAAGCGTAGGTTTCAGTTAGGGCCTTTTTCTGATTGGTTCAACTACTTGTCAAACTATTAATAATTGTTACCCTGAGGCGTTGTGGGTACCGCATTGGCCCTCTGTCCTTTGTGTCCGAAATGCTTGTGATGACATACTTATTTGGTCTGGACTGCTTGCGTCATAATCTTTTAACATGTACCGACGGTATTTGATAATCTTTTGATTCTTACAATCTCGTGACGTGTCACGCACTACTTCCCCATGCCACCCCCTCCACCCCCACCACCCCCTCCACGCCCACCTTCAACACACTCACGTACAGGAAAGGCGACTTTTTGTGGTATACGGATTCTTGTCTGCTTTGTCCGTTTTATTCAAATTTTGCGTTAGAAAATATAATCTTTGTACAACCGACTATTTCCATCTCTCTATCATGAGAGATTACGGTTACGTCTATAAGACCTCTTGTTGTCCCCACTAGTCACCTTGTCGAAACAGTAACTCACAACATATTTGGAAATTTAAAAGGCACTCACAACGTGTTGTCGTTTATTATTGGTAATGGGACTTTCACAACATGTATGTTTGTACGATCTAAATTGCAATGAGAAACGGTGTTCCGGAAATATACTTGTTGTTGTTGATGATGTTGTTGTTGATGATGTTGTTGCTATTGTTACTGATGTTGTTGTTGATGTTTTTGTTGTTGTTGCTGATGTTGTTGTTGTTGTTGCTACTTCTCTGACAAGTCTTTATTTGTGATGACAACAGCACAACAAGCGAATCATATAGCCTCAAGACTAACATTCCTACACACAGTTTACGGACGTCTAGTTGTGTAAGACCCAAGTTTGATACTTCGATAAAAATTTGCGATACCAACAACAACGTATACTGGCTGCAATAAAGAGAGAGACGAGCCAGCGACCTGGAACAGTTAACTATTTTGCTTCTTCAAAATTTGGTCTCTCAACTCGAGTAGAGGGACATGGGTTAACGTCTCACCCTCTATGGACATCCACGTTGGATCTAGATGAGGCGACGTGGGTGTTGGAAATCGTTATAAAACCGTAACAACAAATATTTTTGGAAATTTGATGAATGAATAAAAAGGAAAAGACAGACCCATCATCACCATTATACAGTGCTTTAGATCTATTTATTATTATTATTATTATTATTATTATTATTAATATTATTATTATTATTATTATTATTATTATTATTATTATTGTTATTGTTATTATTATATCGACAATACGTACGGTCCAAAAGAATTACCCGTCTCAGATGCTGAGCTGAATATTTTGGACGTTTTTGTTTTGTGAGGTTAATCCCTGGATAGAAAGAAAAAATCTACGCGATGTAATGCTATTGCACACCGTTCTCTCGGACGTCCGCATGTGTGTGATATTGAATCCTATGCCTACGGTTCAATTGAGCGGATGCAAGATCCGCTTGCGAGAGCAACTCTTTAAGTAAAAGGAGATAACAATTCCGTGCGTCGTATCAAATGTGTACTTAGTACTTGTTCGTGTGAAAAGCTAATAAAAATACTTTTAAAAACAGGAATATCTTTAAATGCAAGCAATAATAAAAAATATTGTCTGGGCAAGGCTAAGATAAATAGACTAAAATACTCCCTTGTCAATTGATTTAACAGCATTGAAAAAGTTTTTGGTAGATCTTATTCAAATAAAATGTAGAATTCTAATCTTTTTGCAGTAGACATATATTTTAAATGATTATTTCCCTTATAAATGATTTAAAAAAAAAAGAAAAAAAAGCGTCTTCCCTCCCTTGCTGGAGCTCCGGGGTTTCCCGAAGGGAGTGTCCCTAATTCATAGACTTGTATTAGGTCTACATTATTATTATTATTATTATTATTATTATTATTATTATTATTATTATTATTATTATTATTATTATTATTATTATTATTATTATTATTATTATTATTACTATAGTATTACTATTGTTGCTATTATTATTATTATTACTATTATTATTATTATTATTATTATTATTATTATTATTATTATTATTATTATTATTATTATTATTATTATTATTATTATTATTATTATTAATTATTATTATTATTATTAGTAGTAGTAGTAGTAGTAGTAGTAGTAGTAGTAGTAGTAGTAGTAGTAGTAGTAGTAGTAGTAGTAGTAGTAGTAGTAGTAGTAGTAGTAGTAGTAGTAGTAGTAGTAGTAGTAGCAACATCCTAGATTTTAGGTCATTCCCAAAGGGGGAATACTAAAATGTTCTTATGCACAGTAGAATTGTAAATAGGCTGATTAATCAATGTCATGCTCATACTGTGCCGGAACAGAGTAAACCTGATTCCCCGCTTGGACTTTTCTGTTGACATCCACTCTTTGGCGGTCACATGACCTTATGCAGTTGCGAGCGCCGTATAACCTTACTACAACAAACAATGTCTTACACAGTTGTAGTGTCTCTTCATAAAGTCGCCACTTTAATACATATTAGTATTAGTTGCCCTGTTCTTTATACGTATCTGTTTCAAAGCAATGCTGTTCAGATTGAATCTGTGAAAAAAATCTGAATAAAGCAAACATATATTGAACACTATATTTCTGGCCTTCTTGAAGTCATTAGTCTATTAAAGCCTGAATTCAGCTCTACTACTTACTGGCATTTCAAGTTAATCAATTTCCTTCAAGCATGGAGCGATTTCTACGTCCAAAGTGATTCGATGCAGATCCAAACTCAGCAAAAACGGACACACGATGGGACCACTCGAAAGCTTATAACACATTATTATTATCATCGTCAACAACAACAACAACAACAACAAGAACAACAACAACAACAACAACAACAACAACAACAACAACAACAACAAGCAACAAACTATCAAAACCGCGCACTTTGTGACGATATCGATATAATCAGATAAACGATTCCATCCAACAGTTACAGTCCCCTTGACAAAATTACTCTGTACAGCCCCCATCCAAATATAATATTATTAATATTTCTAGAGACGTTAGGAGACTTTCAAACCATTTGTATGTTGCAACTAAAACAAACAAGTCAAATAGAAAGACACTACCAAGGAAGAAAGAGTAACATGCAAATGTTCGCACAGGGGCATGTCTCACTTCTTCAATTTTTACCCTAAATAAGCAAGATAATGCTGCCCTAACACTTTAAAGATCATCCCTGTCCTGTAGATGTCTTTTTATACCGGAAAAGACATTTCATTAAATACAAAATCTAATTAATATAATATGCAGGTCCCAAATCCAGTAAAGCACAGAGGCCGTAATATAAAGTGTTAGATGGTACTGGTTTTGGTAATCAGAAATCTGGTAATCAGAAAGACCCACTTCTATAAAAATTTGCGATACCAACTACAACGTATACTGGCTCCAACAAAGAGAGTGGTGGGCCAGCGACTTGGAACAGTTAAATATTTTTCTCCTTCAAAATTTGGTCTCTTTACGAAAGGAGAAGGACGTTGGTTAGTGTCTCATCCTCTCTATGGACAACGTGGTTAGATCTAGATGAGGCGACGAGGGTGATGGAATTCATTAGAAAACCATAAGAATAACTCTAATTGAAAACTTAATGAATGAATACAAAAAAGACAAACACATAGAAATTTAAAAAAACAACAAGAAATACAATTAACTAAAGAATGGCTGGCGGCCTCGCTAACCAGTGCCACTCACCGACAGCTAGCTATGCTGTTGTTGTTGTTGTTGGTGGTGGTGGTGATGGTGGTGTTGTGTGTGTGTATGTGTGTGTGTGTGGTAGCCTATCCGTTCGAAATGTTTGGAGCCCCGAAGAGCGTGGGGTGGAGTCAAGA